AGCCGACACTTCAGCATTTTCATCTAAAGCTAGCAAGAAAACAGCTGTCACAATGGCTCCTAGCATTGGTATATCTATTTCATTTTCGGAATTACAATTCTCTTCTCTCCCTCTTCTATAGGAACATGGATGTTAACTACCACAAGTTCCAGTCCAAGGAGCAAAAATTTAAGGGTGAAATTCAGGGATGTTAAATGTATCCGGAATGATTATGAAGACTCCTATGAGATTCTATATGAACCTCCCCCTCCAGAAACTACAACGAAGGGCACTCGGAAGGTGCATGATTTTCCAGAAAATAGGAATGAAGAGGAGGAAGATGAAGATTACCAGAATTCCCTGGCTTCAGCACTAGGAATTAGGTCATTCAGAAATGTATCCCTGACGCAGAAGGAAGATGAGCTGAATCTCACTGCCTTAGCTCTGGAGAACAGCCCAGAACTCATGTCCCCAAGTGCTGACACTGCTATTAGTTCAAATTCGTCTTCTCCCAGTAACATTCGTTCACTCATAGACGATGGCCCCTCAGAACCTCAGGAAACCCTCCTTCCTCCAGGGACCACAAACACCAGTCCTCTCCTGAGGCACCCCGCTAACTTAGACAAGAGCTCATCTCTCAACTCTCCCACAGCAGAGCACGCCATCCTTTATTCTGAAGCCTCTCTCGAGGACTCTCTACAGTCCCAGGTTACAGAGATACATTTACTTCCTACTGGGGCAAAAGGATTCAGAAGTCACAGACATGCTAAATATAACATATGGAAGGCAGGAAGAGATACAGCAGCAAAGCTCGAGGGTCCACAGAAGGAGGCACTAGCACCTAAACATGGGAGGCATTTAAGACAAGACGATGATTCTCCTTCCAGAATGGAGTCCTGGGAGGATCTTCCTAGCAATCCATTTCTCTTAAAACTCAAGAAAGCAGCTAACATTTTGAATGGGCAACGGCACCCGGCTTCTGAGAAAGGTAACTACAAAAGTATCCGAGCAACGGATGAAGCGATAACTGTTAATATGCTGCTGGACAGTCCCCAGAATGATTCAAGGACTTGGGAAGACAGCACCCCCCTTACAAACAAGCATCGAAAGCATAGGGGTGACTCACATTTTTCTAGAGTTACACACAACCCTCTCCAAGTAAGACACGAGGGAGAACATAGTAGATTGAAGAAAACCGCTTTTCACATTAGGACGCGTAAAAAGAAGAAGGAAGACAAGCTTACACCCCATGTTCTTGGGTTCCCTGGGGGCTTCCGCCCCCTAACAAGAGAGGCCGACACCACATTTTCAGACCAAAATTTGTTACTTCACAAATCCAACGAAACATCTCTTCTCACAGACATCCACCAGACAGTGCCCTCTATAAATCCCAGCCTGATGGACTCATTTCCTGATTATAATCCCAACATCCTAAGCAATGACACTGGTCAGCCAGGCTCCCTTGCAGCTACTTCTCAAACAGTGCTTGACACGATGGCTGACTATGACCTAAGTTATGAGTCATACCTTAATGATGGTGGTCCAATTGTTCCTTTTCGGGAACTTGAAGGTGGGCAGATGACCGCATCTCCAGACATCGGTCAACCACCCCTCTCCTCAGACCTCAGCTCCAGGACCCACTCCCCCAATGACTTCTCTTCAGACTTCCATCAGACAGCCCTCTTCCCTGACCTCAGTCAGATGACTGTTCCTCCAAAACCCAGTGAAACAAGCCTTCCTGCAGCACTCCGTGAGGCAACTCTCTCTCCAGAACTCAGCCAGACGACAATTTCTCCAAATTACAATCAGACATTGCCTTCTCCAGACCGTAATCAGACCGCCTACCCCTCTGAATCTACTCAATCACAGCCTTCTCTAGAACGTGGTCAGATTTCCCCTTCCACAGACCTTGGTCAGACGTCATCTCCTCCTGCACCGTCTGCATTCAATGACACTTTAATATCAAGTCAGTTTAATCCACCAGTCATAGTGGGCCTTTCTAGAGATGATGGAGATTACATTGAGATTATTCCAAGACAGGAGATGCTTGAAATTAGTGAAGAAGACATTGTTCAAATGGATTATGTGCATTATGATGATCCCTACCAAACTGACATGAGGACAGACGTCAACTCCTCCAGAAATCCTGACAACATTGCAGCATGGTATCTACGTAGCCAAAATGGAAACCGAAAAAACTATTACATTGCTGTTGAAGAAATATCCTGGGATTATTCACAATTTGCACAACGGTTTGGCCCATTTCTTTCTCTTATATTTCCATTTTTTCAGTCCTGCTTAAAAAGTAATTATCGCTTTTTCCCCCCAATAGGTTGGGGGGGAAAGTAATTATCATAGTTCAGGGACACATAGAGACAGTTGTGCTAAGGATGGTGCTTGGTTTTCTATTCCACCTTGAGCTAAACTATATCCTTTGTCATTTCCAAGATTGACGCCTCTACTTTAGATGGCACTGCAAGCACGTAAGAACAGTTGCTGTGAGAAATCTGATATTTCCGCACTTGGGCAAGCTGCTCCTCCCTATTCTGGTCTTACCATGTCATTCCTAGTCCTCTCTGCTCTAAAGCCCTGCTGAAATGAACCCTGGAAATCTGCTACTCAAGAAAATATAATTGAAGTTTATTTCAAATTTGTAAAGTAGAAGTCTTCATTTGCATTTATTTGTGTGCACACCAGGAGAGCTTCAAAAATTTCAAGGAAAAAATTGTTATTTCTCAACTCCATTTTTCCATGAATTTTTGAAACTCCATTGTGTGCATATGTGTGGGTGTGCGCATGCACGTGCACATGTATAACTTGTTTTGTGATTGTGTTAGGCAGAGTTCTCTAGAGATACAAAACCAGTGACTTAAGTATATATAAAGAAAGAATTTCATATCAAGAAAGTGGTTCACATCATGCTTATAGAACCAGTCTAGTCCAGTCTGGGCCAAGTTCGTGGGTCAGATGTTCAGCTGGAGGTATTTTCATGATTTGTGTGTTGGTGAGGCCAGCAAACCAGGAAGCAGTTAAGACCACAGGCTGAGGGAGGCACAGGTAGATGAGTCCAAAGCCAGCAAGTTGGGAGCACGGCTGAAGAGGCTAAGGAATATGGCAGGCTGCTGATGGCTTCCAGGGTCAGTGCTTCAATGAGCCAGATGCAGGATCTAGATCAGCAAGAAGTGAACAAGCTTCCCCACAGCACTGACGTATGTTAAGAGTAGGTCACACCTCTGATGAAACTTCTTTCCACTGTAACAAGGCTGAGATCAGGTGAAGGAGGTGGTGTTCGACCCTATTCTTCCCATGACTGAAGTGGATTACATTATGGTAGGTCACATCAGGCGAGAATCATGGGCCAGCCAAACTGGCATAAAACCTATCACAGTGATCAACATAAAGCATATAGCATCTTGGTAAACTATAGTTCAAACTCTATCAGACTCCAGTGACAGAGGCCAGAGACATCAGGTGGTTTAAAACTAAAAAGCAAGTTTGTACCCTCAATTGAGACAGCCATTAGATAATGACTTGGTTTTATTTAAACGAGTTGTAACTTGAATAGAGTCACTCATTCAGCAACTCTTCATTACTTTGTTAGCATTGTGTTAAATAAAAATATAAAATGCAAATGGTCCTGCCATCATGGTATATATAACTTACTTAGTAGAGTAGGTAGAAAAGAATATTAAGTTTGAGAGATAACTTTATGGTAAAGGCCAGGAAAGAAAGGTAAATATGTAGTCGTATTGGAATTGGGGAAAATGACCCCGAGGAAGTGGCAGTTGAGGTGAGATTTGGAGATGAATGAGAGTGAATTAAGAGAAGATGGAATGAGAGAACATCCTAGAGTCAAATAGAAGAACAAGATCAAGACCCAGGGGTAGGAGGGAACCCCTGAAGCTATGAAGACATTGAAATGAGGCTCAAAATGTTTGTAGGGTAAGGAATTAAAAGATAATGGAATTTTTCACAGACTTTTTGAGTCCTGCTTGTATCTATTTGCTCATTCATTTTTGCATTCAACAAAAATCTTTAAGTATCTTATCTGACAATGTAATAGAATTTGGAAAGAAAACTGTGAGCAAACGTTGCAAGATCCTTGACCTCTAGTTGCAGAGGTCAAGGGGCTGGCATTCTAATAGCAGGGGCAGACATTAATAGATAACCTCGACAATAAATATAAATAATTATATATACTATAGAGTCACCATGAGTTGGCATCGACTTGATGGCAGCAAGAATGAGAAATATGAGTCCCATAGAAATGTTATTTATGTAGATAGATAGATAGATAGATAGAT